GGTCGGACTCGATGATCTATTGAGGTCCCTTCCGACCCTAACATCTATGAATCTATGAATAGGGGCTGGAGCTGAGGGCACTGCCTAGCCAGGGCAGTGAATGGGACCCCGGGGCTGGGATTGGGAAGGAGCTGCAGGCAGCTCGTCCAGGGGGTGCAGGGCAGGGGGGGAGATTTGTGCATGGGGCGGACGTGGGCTTCCCGCTGTAGGTTTGGGGCTTTCCATCCTCCTGCCTTTGCCCCGGGAGCCACTCACTGGCTTCATGTCCCCTGCCTGTCTGGCGGCAGTGGGGGGCGGTGAGTTATGCCTCCCACTGTCAGGTGGGGGACATGATGTGGCCAATGCACGGCTCCCAGGGCAACGGCAGCAGGGCGGAAAGCCCCAAGCTCAGAGCGGGCAGCTCGCCTCTGCCCTTGCCCTATTTAGCTCCACTCCTAAAAGCAACCCGGCACTTAAAAATAGTGGTGGTAGCGCTTGAACTAAAGCTCATTTGATACTTAGAATGACAAACGTTTAACAAAACTTATATTCTTCTGTTACAAATGTAGGTATAATAGTTATGATAGTAGTGAGAGAACTTATTTGTATAGCATAATTATTTCAAATATGCACAGCAGTTTATTTAATCTGAAAGAGCTACTTAAGACTTAAATATGGCAACATGCAGTTGTAAGTGAATTTGTTTAAGCTTAAGCTTATGTTTCTCAAGAAGCATTGAAGAGCATGTTGAAGAGACTTGTCTGCTCATTTTAGTCATTGAGTGTAGCAATACTTTGATACAACTATGGAGGGGATAGTCTCCCCTGAGATCTGTGTCACATAAAGCATACAATACAAGCCCAAAGAATCATTTTGGGAAATCTTGGAAATGAAACAAATATATATATATTTAAGCTTACACAAGCAGAACTAGCATTTAGTGTTGTGCTCTTTGTCATGTGTATTCATGTGCATGATCTGAAGTGGATTCTCCATATTTTCAAAAGCTTTTAAAGCAAAAGAGACCATTCTGATCACCTACTCTAACTCCCTGGGCAACACAAACCACAGGATTCCCCTTCATTAACTCCTGTTACACTTGAGCCAACATATGCATTTTAGGAAAACATCCAATCTTGTTGTAGTCATGGAGAATCCATCACAACCCAATAAAATGTTTGAATGATTAATTTATCGTCAGTTAAACTTTTTCTTGGCTAAACTAGTGTAACTTCAAATTTGTTTGTGTAGACCAGTGGTCTCCAACCTTTTTGAGTAGGAGATCACTTTTTGAATTAATCTTTATCTACTGTGTGCTGCCCCCTCCTACAGGCCAGTCTGTGGTGAGGGAAGTGGGGGGGGGGGGAGATCAAGGCAGAGGGAAAAAAAATTATTTGGGGTCACCCCTCAGCAGGTAAGCCTGTGGAGCAATGGGGTGGGGGAGATGGAAAAGGGCTATGGGGGGCCAGGGCAGATCAAGGCCCCAGTGGTGAGGGAGGAAGCCGGGCACAGGCAGGAGCAGGAGCTGGAGGGAATAGGCCTGGCTTGGCCAAGTGGTAGGACAAGCGGGATCCACTGGTTGGTGACCACTGGTGTAGACATGTATAAACCAAATACCTCACCCCTTAACTTTCTCTCTGATGAGCCAAACAGATTGAGCTCCTTGAGCATGTCATTTTTTAGTACTTCTCTGAACCCCTCTAACACCCTTTTTAAAATGATGACACCAAAATTAGACACCACATTCCAGTAGTGGTTTTACTGCAACGTCAGCTGCAGGGGAAATACAACCTCAACTCCTACTCAACATTTCCCTTTTTATACAGCTGAGGATTACAACAGCTCCCTTAAATTTAGCGTTGCCCAGGAAGATTACATTTAGCCGATTATATGCTGGGATCCTAAAGCTTTATTCAGAAACACTACTTCCCACCCCCTTCTGAAGTCTATATATTTTGCTTCTAGTTGCTAGACTCTACATCTGATGACACAGAGATGGAAGTTGTTTGTTCATACCCATCTTACCTAACAATCCTGATTGATCTGTATCAGGGACTTGTCTTCATTATTTACAATTTATACAGTCTTAAGGTCATTTGCAGATTATCAGCAATGATGTGAATTATTAGTATTTATTACTATATTATCAAAGCACCTAGAAGCTATATTCATGGACCAGGATCTCACTATAATAGGTGCCATGTAAACAAAGAAATGTCCTGCCCCACAGAACTTACAAGCTAAGCTTACAAACAACAAGGGAAGCACAACGTAATAATGCTGGTCAGCCTGACAGACGACTGTGACAACGAACTGTCATATTTTCTAGGCACTGCAGCAGAGGAGAGATTCGACTGAGAACAATGAAGTGTATCTGTGGATGCTTACAAGGAGCTCCTTGCTAGCATGAAAGGAAACAGGAAAAAGTGCTGCCATCATGGACTGCTCACAGACTAAAGCTGACTTCTTGATAGTGAGAAGTGAGAGCTGGAGTGGGGACTGGCCACCAGAGCTCTGAAAGTGAAGCAGCTTATTAGTGAAGCTTGCTCTTCAAAGAAAAGAAAAAGAGAGCAAACAGATAATCAGAGAAATGAGACAGAAAAAAAAAAATCACTGGATATAAGGACGACAAGATTGCATTTGTCAGGGCTACAGAAAAGGATGTTGCAATAACCGAGACATGAGATAAAGACACCCTGGACAGGAGTTTTAATAACATAGGTAGAAAGGAAAGGCCCTATCTTAGATATGTTATGCAGAAATAATCTCTACTACTTATCGACACAGCTCTATTAGATCTGGAGAGTTGATGATGATAATGGCAGGACAACTGTACTGTCCAAAGTGACTGAGAAAAGAAGCAGCAACTAACAGCACCATTTTAACCACGCTCAGCTTGATCATGAAATCCACAGGGTAATGTCAGGAAGATAAGCAAAGAGTTCAGTCAGAACAGAAGGAGACAGGTCTGAAACAGAGTAAAAAGCCTTCGATCTGGTGTCCCATGATCGCCTCTTGGAGAAACTGGCTAATTGTCGCCTTGGGTCCTCCACGATCCACTGGCTAGAAAATTGGCTCCGGGGTCGGACCCAGAGGGTAGTAATTGATGGAAGTCACTCATCGTGGTGTCCTGTGACCAGTGGGGTCCCCCAAGGCTCTGTCCTTGGACCCATACTGTTCAACATCTTCATTAATGATGTGGACACTGGAGTCAGAAGCGGACTGGCCAAGTTCGCCGATGACACCAAACTTTGGGGCAAAGCATCCACACCAGAAGACAGGCAGGTGATCCAGGCTGACCTGGACAGGCTCAGCAAGTGGGCAGACGAGAATCTGATGGTGTTCAACGCCGATAAATGCAAGGTTCTCCACCTTG